TATTGTTACTACTTTGGATCTGGCACCACCCACCAAGAAATTGATGATGTGGAAAGAGACAGGGGGAGTGGAAAAACTCTTCTCCTTACCTGCTCAGCCTTTATGGAATAATAGACTACTGAAGGTAATATAGTTTGCAGAATTTTTTATCCTATATATATTTGGCCATTTTTTAAAATTTTTGAAACCTTTGACATTTTTGATCAGATATTTTCAACTATATGGCACCTTTTTTTTACTTAAGTCACAATATAGTGAACATAACCTGATCTGAAAGATCCTGCTGATACCTATATTTCTCAAAGATGTAGAAGGAGGGATGCCTGGGTGGCTCAGTCGGTTAAGCATCTGCCTTTGGCTCAGGTCATGATTCCAGGGTCCTGGGACCAAGTCCCACATCGGGCTCCCTACTCAGTGGGGAGTCTACTTCTCCCTCTGCCTGCCACTCCCCCCACTTGTGCGCTCTCTCTCTCTCTGATAAAAAAGATGTAGAAGGAATTTTTTCTATACTAAAAAGCCATTGAGGTTTTTAATACTAGTTCTCCCTTTTCATCCTCTCTATAATTACTGTTCTATTGCCTAGTGTACACTGTGCTTCAAGTTTGCAGTCTTTAGATCTTGCTTTGTAGCTAAACCATGGAGTGGTTCTCCTTTTTCCACAGTAAAGAATTCTCTGGCTTTATGAGAATTATTTTCACCCATAAGCCCTTTTCTGCTCATTTTAAGTTCCACACTATTCCAAAACAAGGTTCTGAAGTGAAGAACTCAGAGTAAAGCAGTGCTATGAGACTGTTATTCTAAAGTTGAAATATGCTTAGAACCAGTTGATTCTACTATAGATTTTATTTTTCGGAAGAACAATCATATAATCATTTGGAAGAAAGTCCTTAAAATATTTGACTGTCTGGTCTCATTATTAGAAATTTTCCTAAGGAAGTAATTCAAAATATGGAAAAAGCCAGTTCTGTGAAGATGTTCATTACATTGTTGGCAATTAAACTAAAAAAAATATTGAAAAATGGTTCAAATGTATACACACACATATACATGTATCTCCACTCAGTGGAATATTACGTAGTCATTAAAATTATTAAAAGTGATAATAAGATTTCCATATTAAGTGAAAAAAACATGTAAAACTACCTGGTATGATTCCATTAGATGGAGTTTTAAGTGTGTAAATATGAAAATAAACTGCGGGAAAATTTAAAATTTTAGTGCTATCTCCAAGTTACAAGACTGGATAATTTCATTTGACTTTTTTAAAATTGCTGCACTTAAAATCAAATATCCTGTATTTAAAAATTATATTAAGATGTAATGAAGTGTGGATCTAACATTAAGTAGAAATCACGCTGAATTATATATACACTGATTACAACTGTATGAAAACATACTTAATGGAAAATTGAAATGTCAGTGGTAAATTTTTAATGTGATTTATAATTGAGATTTTTTTTTTTTTTTTATAGCTCTTTACCCGCTGTCTTACACCGCTAGTACCAGAAGATCTTCGAAAAAGGAGGAAAGGAGGAGAGGCTGATAATTTGGATGAATTCCTCAAAGAATTTGAAAATCCGGAGGTTCCCAGAGAGGAGCAGCAGCAGCAGCACCAGCAGCGTGATGTTATCGGTGTGTTCTGTTGTAATAGTTCCTTGATGAAGTTTACATGTGCATTTGGCTTAAGATTTACCTGTATATTGCGAGTAAGAGAAATGAGGAACAAAGGAGTATACTCAAATTTTTGGATAGGGAAATACATTTGATGCTTTGTTAAATAAGCTTTCTGGTTTTGGAATGGTTTAAAGTTTAGGACTGGCTGAGTAATCTTCTGCTGAGAGGATAATCCTGCATTAGATTACAGGTGGTGGAATTTTGCCCTTTTCCATCTTTACGTGTATTGTTACAAACTGAGTAATCTTTGCAGAAGTAAAATTTTTATTTGGCCTTCTTCGTTAAAGTACTTTTGTCTTAACGCATTAGTATTAAAGTAAATTTTGAAATATTGTTAAAGACTGTATAATTCACATCTCTTCATATGACCAATTGCAGATGAGCCCATTTTGGAAGAGCCAAGCCGCCTCCAGGAGTCAGTGATGGAGACCAGCAGAACAAACTTGGATGAGTCAGCCATGCCTCCACCACCTCCTCAGGGAGTCAAGCGAAAAGCAGGACAAATTGACCCAGAGCCTGTGATCCCTGTAAGTAAGCACATCGGTCGTCAAGGAGCCCTTTTGAAATATTTTGGTTGAGGAAAAAAATGACAAGGAATAAGTCCAAAGAGAAAGAATTGGCAGCTAAGGATGTGAATGCAGGTGTGCCCTAAGTGAGAGAAGATATTCCAGGAGTTTCAGCCTTCCTGACTCTTCTTAAGATAGTCTTGTGTCAGAGTGGCCGAATCTTTGACTCTAAACTTGGTTCCAGTTTAGTTCAGGGTGACTCTGACAATTCTAGATTAAAGATGAAAAATATAAGGAACCTGGTAAATTCAAGTATGTCATGAGTAAAGTGCACACAGACTGTCAATTAACACTTCGTTCCTTTTTTTTAAATTTCGGTTTTCTTTGTCAGCAAGATAGGACATTTTTTCTCCAGTTTTAATGAGCTATAATTAACATACATCATACTAGTTTACGGTATTGTGGAATCATTTCACAACACGTGTGTGTGTGTGTGTGTGTGTGTGTGTAACATCTGTCACCTACATAATTACATTTTTCTTGTCCTGAGAACTTTTACAATCTACTCTTAGCAACTTTCAAGTATATGATACAGTATTAACTATAATCACCATACTGTGTATTAGATCCCCAGAACTTATAAATGGAAGTATCTTTCTAACCCCTAGTAGTACCATTGCACTCTGCTTTTATGAGTTGTGTTTTTTAGATTCTACATACAAGTGATAATCATATATATTTGTCTTCCTCTTATTTCACTTAGTATAATGCCTTCCAAGTCTATCCATGTGGTCCCACTTGCTTATTTTTTGCTTTTACTGCCTTTGCTGTCAAATCCAAAAATCATTGCCAATACCTGTTTTAAGGAGCTTACCCTGTCCTATGTTTTCTCCTAGTAGTTTATGGTTTCAGGTCATACATTCAAGTCTTTAATCCATTTTGGGTTGATGTTCATGTATGGTGTAAGATAGTGGTCCAGTTTTCCCAGAACCATTATTGAAATAAGATTTCCCCATTGCGTGGGTTGACTTCTCAGCTCTCTATTCTGTTGCAGGTTCCTGCAACATGAGACAGTTGTAGGCTACCTTACTAAATAATCAGAATATACTTGTCAAATTGCTTAAAAAAAAAAAAAAATCTGGCCACTTCATGCAGACTTTCTACCATTAAGTTCATTTAGGGTAGGAAAACTAAACTGTAAAGGAAGTAAGGTCTAGTGTAAGGCTTCCCAGTCTTAAATTTCTAGAATAAATTAATCTTGGACTTTTGGTTCAGCCTCCATCAAGAGGTACTGGCAGAAGATTCCTCTGCAATCTTAAGAACTATTTTTCTGTGCCCTCTGGTGGTGGAGTTGTCCAAAATAGCATCTTTCTGTATGAGCTCAGGAATGGGGGTGGGACAGGTAACAAGTGGGTTACTCTAGTACTACGGTCCTGGAAGAACTTGTTTTTTAACATTCTCAGCTGTTTATATTAAGCCTGAGAGGAAAAATTCAAGAGATAGACTCAGAAAAATGGTCTCCTCATTCCTATTATTTGCTGCCGTAAGAGCTCCTAGGCTCTTATTTAGAGCCCAAGCTTAGTTGTAATAGCCTTAAGACAGTTTCATGCAGTAACAGTTGACAGTACAGGCTATTTAATGTTGAAGCCTTTTTGCATGGTGTTAGTGGGCAGTTCTGTTTTGTGTGGTTTTTCCTAAAATGCTACTACAGAAAGTTTTGGGGTTTTTTTCCTGTTCATAGTTTTTCTTGTGATTTACAAATTTCTCACATAGACTTTATAACTATTTGGTTCCTAAAAAGTATAAGGGCAAAACACTTTTGTTAATTTCTTCTGTTAAAGCTTTGTAAGAAGAACAAGATATAATCAACTTTTGATTATGAGGAATGGCAGTATGACCCCAGTATTTCTTCCTCTTGCTTTAAGCCCCAGCAGGTAGAGCAGGTGGAAATACCCCCTGTAGAGCTACCCCCTGAGGAGCCTCCGAATATCTGTCAGTTAATTCCGGAGTTAGAACTTCTACCAGAGAAAGAGAAGGAGAAAGAGAAGGAGAAAGAAGATGATGAAGAGGAGGAGGTAAGGAAACACTGGCAGAGACTTCATGAATAAGTCCCATCCCAGATTTAGTACAGATCTTCAATCTGCTCTCTTAGTGGAGCCGAGGTAATTGATGTTGAGCATAACAGTGATGAAAAATGTTCAAACAAAATTTAACCAAATTCTTAATTTAGACCATTAACATCAAATTTTATGCTGTGCTTTAACTCATTGGCTCCCTTTTGGGCTTTTGAAGGACATAGGACTGGCTGCCTTTTCACTGATTTCTTGGTTGACTTCTAAATTGATTGTAGCTAGTTTTATTATCTTGTGGCCAATTTTTACTGCTTTTAGCATCTGCCTCTGGTATGACATCTCTGTGGCCTGGAAATCTGATATAACCATTTTCCATTGATAGGTTTGTTTTCATTAGACTGGTGTGAGATGTAACTTGGCTAAGATAGATTGAGTAAAGGTTTGAATGGCTTTTATTTTTTGGAAAGTAAAGGCACTTTAGCAATGGATTTCCTTTTCAGGGCCCTTATTTGGCTGTTCAAGGTCTCCCCCCCTTTTCTGGATCTTTGTTTAAATGTAAAATAAAAACCTTAAAATATCTTCTAGGAAGCATTGAAGCTTCTTAAAATTCTTTTAAGACTAAAGGTTAGAGGCTGGGTACATATAATAAATTACAAATTGATACTAAAAAAAATGTCAACCATAGATTTTACAACCATTTAGTGCTGGAGTACTGTGGTTTTTTTAAAGTCAAAATTTAGCCCTAGAGCTACTCTAGTTTAAGGTGTGCCATTATCTCAGACTTAGTGTTGAATCATTATTTAAAATTGTTGTGCTTTCTATTATGTATGAAGCTCTTATAACTCCTGGTTCTTTGAAATACGGTATGTAGTTCCAGCATAGCATGGAAGCATCCCAGCTGTTGCTCTATGCCAACTTCAAGAGTTTAGAAAGTCATTTAGAAGGCAAGTCCTGTAGGGAACTAGGAGCTGGGCAACTCAAGTAAAATCAAGTATTATGGATTATAGCCCATTTCTTCAAAAAAACAAAAAAACTTTTTTTTTTTATTTACTTGACAGAGAGGTGGGGGGAGCAGCAGAGGGAGGGAGTCCTAGGGGGACTTGATCCCACATGACCTGAGCCAGAGGCAGCCATGCTTAATTTACTGTGCCACCCACGCACCCCATTTCTCTTAAAACACTGTATAGACCAGTACTACTTACTCATCTGCTAATCTGTGCTCTTTGGTACTGATCCACAATGAGATTGGGATCTGCCAGAATATAAATGATCTAGAAAATCATGCTACTGAAAAAACAGATTCAGTTGAAATAAGCAGTGTGCTTAGTGGCATAGTTGATTTATATCCAACACAATTGTCTTAACAGGGGCCAATCAGTAACCAATAGCTCACCAACCAGCAGTAGTCCAGGGGCCACGTGATGTAGACCACATCCTTAATAGACC